AGATGTGTATAAGAGTGTGGTATTAAAAGTTTGTATCTTATAGGATTGACTTGCTTCCTTTGTATATTTTCAAAATTATATTTCAGTCTCAACACCAAATTATAACGAGGATAACATTCTCCGCCATTCAACAGAGGTTTGAATAATATCGTTACATTCGCAAAACTTTTAATATTATATGAATATTATATGAGTGCTTTTAAAATGGTTCTTTTTTAGTCTAAATCGTCTGTAAATCAAAGACAATTAAAGCTACATGTTTTTGTTTTTTTTTCGAGTTTTGTTAGTTAAAGTAAGTCATCGAAACTATACTTTTTCGATTTTTAAGTTATTGAAAGTTTATATTAGTTTATAATAATGTGATTCTCTGAAATGAAATTCTAAGTATAATATTATTTGGTAGAAGTAGTGGTAATGTAACATTAATTGAGTTTGATTTGTTATCAGGCCTGTGAATAATAAAAATCAGAAATGCAATTATAATATGTCGATATGCATATATTATATTTACTTATCAATGATCAGCGCGCGACAAATCTCGAAATGAAATTATATTACCGTGGTTTTTCTCAGATATTATTCTTGTTTTATACCGACAGAAAGTGAAATGATGAACAGAACAAAAAACAGTCTTAAGAAACGTACAATATAAAACCGGGGTCATTGTTATATTGTTATTAATATGTTAAGAAAACAATTATAGACCTTAATGAGTTTGCCCGTACAACATTTATGTGAATGTGCCCGGTAGCCGGTATTAACAATAACAATGGAAAGGAAAATAAACATATTGTTGACAAGGAATAACTTCCTATCAGATTTTCCTAGACTTTATCTGGTAATTTAAACTTATTTTTAAATTCCAATGTATCCATGCTCATAATGATGATGAACAATGTAGCACCATTCTAATTAAGAAACAGTTTTGAACATGACACAAGGTCAAGTGACATTTTACATTCACATAAACCAAAAATTGAATAATATATAAAAAAAGAAGTTTTTCCTATCGTGGGGCTGAAATCTGGAATAACCTAACAATATAAATTTAAAAGACTTATAACTGACAGGATTAACACAAATAACGAACAAAAAAATGACATCACATTTTAGTCTTCATAACTTGAATTTTTCTTTTCTCTCATTGTACAATACTGTATATGTATTTTCTTTTTTCATATTCTTTTTGGGTTCTGTCTCCCATTGCCAACTTCTCTTGTATTTATTCTAATTTTCCTCTTGTGTATTTCCTACCCGTAATTACATTTCTAATTTTTCATTTTATAAGCTTTTCATCTTTTCAATTTTTTGTGATTTTGCATGTATTAAATTGTATTTTCTTTATATTTGTAAGCAAGAAATAAATATAAACAAGCCTGATTAGTGTGTTTATTGTATGTACAGGTCAACCAGCATATGTAAACATCACAGTCCGTCCATCGAGAGACTACCCCGTGGACATGTACTTTGTGATGGACCTTTCATATTCTATGAGTGACGATCTAGAAACTATGAAAAATGCTATAGAAGATTTAGGTAGGTTATTTGAATATGTGTTGCATAATCTAGTCATGTACATTAACACCAACAGTAGGCCTTCGATTGCACGACGGCAGGTAGGAACCTAGAACTAACGGCACTAAAAAGTTACCAACCGTCTCGCGTCGTGCGTTGAAAGACGCATTTTGCAGAAACATGCGTGATCATGTGTCACGCATTTAGATAATGAATTATCACGAATTGAGGGGAAATATATTTAAAATTATAAGAAAGTGGTTTTATAAAATTAATATAAAAGGGTTATGCAGTAGGCTAACCCGAGTCATTCACTGACGCGTTACTAAAAATTGATCAGTGTGCCTATTCATTTATTGTTTGTAAAGTAATGAATTGTTTGTGTACATAGTTCAGGTGCTCAAATTCAACAATATGTACATTGAAACTCAAATTGTATGTGCCTTAATTAAAAATATTTTTTGTTTATTTACCGTAGTACTCGATTGTCAACACTCCCTGAAATCGATTTAAAACAGCTTAAAAATGCTCAGATCGTCGGAGCGCCAGTGGCCCAGCCCTCTGGGCCCCATCGGGGCTGCGCTTTTTTCTCCCCGACGGGGGCCCTGCCCCCCCCCCCCCCCCCGCCAACTGGTGTGGTCACGCATTTCAAATTGCAAGTTAGGTTGATAACTATGAAGTCATCTGCATTGAGTTCTCGTTGTTTTCTGAAGTTTATACCTTGGTAGGATGCAGTTTGGCCCGAATATTTACGTTTTGCAGAAAACGCAAAAACGGCCACGGCCCGGATGAGTGAATCGTGTCTCTTGGATCCGCATTTCCTTTCGATGTTTATAAAGCTCTTTTTTTCTGAATTCACTTCTTCTCCGGAGCTATGTTCATTGATTTCCCTTGATTTTCCATTGTTGTACTTTGACCTAATTCTAGCGCGCCCTTTATGACACATAAAAGCAATATAATAAATGCCTTATCTGAATCGAATTATTATTAATTTTTAAAATGAAATATTACTTGTTTTTCGTTCTAGCCAATGCTATGCGAATGATCACAACTGATTTTCAGCTTGGATTCGGATCATTTGTCGACAAAACTGTATCTCCATTTATAAGATCAGTATATTTACAGTAAGTAAATTATAATATTATCTGGACTTAGTTCATAATTAATTCGTAATTCATAATTGTATGTTTTGCCACCAAAACAGAGTCTGGTAGGAAGAAAGGGAATACAAATGTAGGCCAACATGTACAATGCCACTAGACTGTCTCTTATACACATCTAGATGTGTATAAGAGACGGAGGGTGATATAAAGCTCACATGGACAAAGAGTAACTTTGGACGTGCTCTGTAATATGTTGATAATTCCATTCAGGGGCAGATCCAGAATTTTTCAAAATACAACACATTCGGAATTGATAATGAGTAGCGCTAATTTAAATATATGCATTATTTGAAATTTTACAATTTAGTGGATAAACGGGGGGGGGGGGAACATTACCATGTTCCCTAACTGGATCCGCCCCTGCAATTATGGTTCAGGCCGAATGCTACAGTTGCTTAAGTGCACCATCTTTTGCTATGATTTAGCCATTATTATAATTGTCATCATCATCGATAGATCACCACCATCATCATCGTCATCATAATAATCGTCACCACCACCACCACCACCACCAGCACCCATATGCTCACCACCATTACCACCAACCATCAATACCATCACCATCACCACCACCACCATCATCATCATTGTCAATATAATCATTATCATCACCACCATTATCATCATGATGATCATCTTCATTAGAAGTATTATATTATTAATATGATTTTAATATTTCATTATTATTATATTACTATATCTATTATATACTACTAGAAATTGCAAATTGCAAGTGAAGTGCTGCGAAGTACAACTGCATATAAATGTTCTTCGAACAAAATTATTTATGCGAGTCAAGTGAAAATAATGAATAATAAAACTATAACAAATAATATGAGACACGACCCATTTGTCTATATTAGAACACTTCTCATTGGAAACAAAGTCGTAATTTTTCATTTTTGTCAAAAAGTGTCTATAGTGTGGTGAATTATGGTTTAGGTTTTATTTTAATAAAGTTTCAAAAATGTCTATGTATGTGGAAAATGTAGTTGATTACCAAAGGTTACAATTTTTATTTTGAAGACTGCATGGTCTAGGAAGTGTACATTTTTTTATGGGGAAAGTTTCCAGTCGGGTTTTCTAGGGGCGCGTTGACTGCCAAAGGGTGTTGCCAAAGTGGGAGTGCTGAGATTTGTGGAATGCAATTCAAAAAACAACTATATGTCTAATAATGAATTATTGTGATGTTAATAGACAATGTTAGCTATCAAAGAGCGACGTTGTTTTTCATTGGGACCTTCGTCCTTTCAAGGCTAGGCCTATACCATCCTAGCTAGTCTAGGCCTAGTGTAGGATAAGGCTAGCGCGACATGCGGACGTTGGTACGATTAGGTTAGTCTACAAACGTCGCCTAAAGTAATTGATTTTACGCGGCAGAACGAAAGAAGGAAACTCCGCTTTTCAGTCGTCTTGGGCACTCGTTTTTTGACAAACAATGACCTTTTAGAGGTCAAATTGCTGTCATGAATATGAATTGGCTGCTTCGCAGCAATTACTATTAAACAAGCATGAAATTGATAATTAGAGTAAGAAGGCACTGTGTTACAAAGGCAACAGTTCAAACGTTTTCATATTTTATTTCATACTCTTTTAAAGATTCTTTATTCTGTAGAACATTTGTACAGTATAACCTTTGAACTCAATAATTAGATTATTGTTTTTTATACTACCAAAGGAAATACAAAATTAATCTTTAATATATACTCAAGCTTTTATGTGTAATTATATTAAGAGGTTCTGCAGATCCAAGTTCCGCATGACTGACTTTGAATCATGCAACACATAAACTAAATCAAGTATTTGAAATACATTGTTACAACTTAGGGCCTACTGGATCCTCTGTTCATAACTTGATTTATAATTCTCTGAAGTGTAGTAAATCTGTTGATTTGCACTTATCTTTTGTCTTTCATTTAATTTATTCTGATAATTCTTGAGATTTTCTACTGTCTGAGGCCTAGTTTTATTGTTGAGTTTATCTTTGTTATTCAAGTTTTTTTTTTTGTTTTTTTTTTCTGGTTTCAAGTTTCTGGGTAGAAAGACAATCAGTGAGAGTTATCAGTCGTTGGTCTCCAAACGTTTGATCAATCTACCCAATTCCAGTCCATACGACTTTTTCCTACACACTTATTAATTAGATTAATTACTTAGTATCAATTAATTAAGCAGCTGTGAATTGTACGACAGACAGAGTGCATAGATAAAATTTTGAGAACCATGTATTGACGTTTGCGTTTGTATAAGGGACTACTTACTCTTGTTATTTGTTTAAAGTTAGGCTTAAATCTCATGTCTGGGAAGAAGCCATTTATTTCGTTATATTTGAAAAAAAAAAAAAACACAATCAGTCTTTGAGTCATTTCCGGGCCTCTAGAGGTAAAAAACTAGTTTCAAAGTTTGCTAACCTTAGCCCAAAATTGTTTGGACTGACGTAAGTGTCGAGCCCTTCGACCGGGGAATCTCTACTGTCGCAAATAAATTGCGATATTCATGAATCTGTAATTTAGAGGATTCATGCCTTAAAACCTTTTAAGCTGTAGATATGAATACAAATTAACAACGTATTACATGTTAATAACAATGTATTTTTGTCTTACAGAAATGATAATCCCTGTATATACTTAACCAGTGTTGCAAATGATGTTTGTGATAAACCATATGGCTTTAGGAATATTTTCCCTCTCTCCCAAGAAACCAATACATTCCAGGTAAGTCAATGATTTGTAATCAAAATTATAATAATAAAGATGATGATAATATTAATAATGAAATACTAAATAATATGACAGTAACAACAACAAATATATAATGGTAATAAATAAAATAAAGTACCAATCAATCAATCATCTTTTATTTAGGCGTTAATATCCATAACATACAAAATTAAATAAGAAATGTGGGATAATACATTATATTAATATTTTAAAAGAACATATGAATTATATTGACATCCCACCTAAAGCCCACTGTCCAGATTATCAATTTCATTTGACAAAAAATTGCTGTATGCCCATATATAGTAATTATGTGCCTATATATAGTCATGTTGTGATGTCATCATGACCATATTTAGTCGTGTCACATCCAGCTAGTAATTGTACTTTGGTGAGTCATATTGTTAATACCAGTTTAAATCCAATGTTTTTAATGTCCCTCAATAAAGTCTTAGAATTACCTTTTGCTGGTATCTGGCTAAATGATAGCTGTGTGAATAAATTTTTATTTAATTTTATTTATAAGCAAACCAACAGCGAAAAACAATCGCCACAACAGGATTGTAGAAAAACATGAAACATTACAGATGGGTTACAAGATAAAAGGAAATCAAAAAACCATTGCACTATACTTTGCCAGAAAGAGAATATAAGTACGGAATTAAAATATTCCAACAATTGTAGCCAGAAGTGTAACCAGAGGAATACCTCTTAAAAACCGCTAATGAATCACTAAAAATATCCACTTCTGGACAAGTGTTAACAAGATCATTATATATTGAAGATATATGATTAACAAACCTGTTTTAGCAAATATTAACTTTGGAAAAATAAACATGGAAAACACTAATAATAAAGTCTGCGATTAGGAACTTTAAGTGTAAAGAAAGAAATTAAATTACAGTTGAAATAATTATTAATACATTAAAACATAAATTTTAAGTAATCCCAGTGTGAATGGTTTACCACTCAAAAGTTATTTCTCAGTTAAAAGATGATTCAGAGATATGAAATTTAATTAGCATTAAAAATAGCTTAATAAGGAAAGGTTCAAGATGTTTTTGCTCTATTGTACAAGTGTGATGTCTTGCATGAATGGTTTTAGGAAATTAATATAAAAATTTATGTTTAAACTGCTAATTCCTATATACACTGAATTAAATCTCTTTTCCCCTCTTCCCACCTGTTATTTTCCAAAGGCATCTAATTCTGCTCCTCTCTCTCTCTCTCTCCCCCTCTCTCTCCCTCTCTCTCTCTCTCTCTCTCTCTCTCTCTCTCTCTCTCTCTCTCTCGGTCTCTGGCCTGCCTACTGTACTAATGCTATCTGGCAGTGGTTCGTTCGTCAACGATATACTACGGGTAGTAGTATATCGTATATATATAATTTTTTTTTTGTGTGAAGAGCCAAGCATAGGGAAACATATTGGCTAATGATAAGATGAACTCATCGCACAAGTTGGCACAAGATTCAACCAACTCGCACTCGAATACGGATACGGTGCGAGTGAGAGTGATCTCAAGAAAGCTAGTATAGGTTTGATTCACCGATTGCAGACTATGGTTTTCTCAGAGTAAGTTTTCACTATTATTACTGCATACGTAACCCACAACGATCAAGGTGAAATTGTAAGGAGGGATGCATCTCACGACTCTATCTAGGCCCAGTCTAGGCAAGGCCTACCCTTGGCGTAGTTGGAAGATGGACCTACACTCCTATTCCATATCATCAATAATGATGCAAGGAAGATCAATGCAACACTTATACACTACTAAAAAAATTTCACAAAAAAAAAAAATTAAAAAAAAAATCTTTTTCAATTTTTTTTTTTTTTGTTCAAAAATATTTTTTTTTCTAATACCATAGAAGACATGCATGCAAGGGTGATAAACTAGATGGATAATTTTAGTGTCCTCCTCCCCAGCACTTTAACAACAAGGAAATGTATCTTCCATTGGCATTATAATAATAATAATTATAGTGCATGAACTAGCTTATATGCACTTGACATCAGGCATGGGGTCAATAACAGTGAAAATGTAATCAATTATAGTGAGAATGTAATCAATCAGATTATAAAATAATAAATAAAATATGCCTAAATATTGAATATAAAAATTGCAAACATTTGCATGCATGTAAGGGAAAAATCATTCATACTATACAGATTTAAAATTATCATTAAAGCCTATCACAAAAAAAATCATTTAAAAAAAATCATATCTATATTATTAAAAAAAATATATATTGAATTTAGAAAATATGGGTAAAAATACATCATTTATAATATTGAATATGTACAGTATTAAAACATTCTTATTAATGCAACCACTTAATAATGTCATTGTCATATTATTTTCATTTTTACACTCAGTAGCATTAACAGATTCCAAATACAAAATAAGTTTTTAAACCACCCCTTCCTCTTTCACAAAATACTATTAAAATGATGATGAAATAAATACCATTTATTCATCCCAGACCCCAAATGCTGTTTCCCTGGATGCCATCAGAAAAAGACCCTACTAGATCTCTTTGCCTGGACCATACCATTGTGCCAGGTGCTCCCAGGATCTCTTGACTTTTATAGGTAACCACCTTAACTTGGTGGGCCTGCCCTATGCATGGCATTGACTGTGATTCAGGGTTTGAATCATAGACTACCTATTTGCCTGAACAGGCAAACATAGTACACAGTACATAGTGTCCTCTAGGCATTTGACCCTCTCACTATCTCACTCCCCAGGAGAAAAATCCAAAAGATGATGCGACAAAAACATTCTGCAACAACAGCAACATTTTAGCGACTGGCGCAAATATGGATCATCAGCCAACAACTATAATTCATTCCCATAGATACTATGCATAGGCGTTTCTACTGTTTGAATGACTACCAGGTGTAAAGACACATGAAAGGCCTGTGTCTACTGTAGGCACATCTGCCTAACTCGGACTGAATTTTTTTTTCAGAAGGTTTATGGTTTTAGATTGGATCTCAATGTCTTCAATTACTGCAGCACTACTCACCAGTACTCAAAACCATCCAGGGTTAGGGTTAGGGTGTTCATGAGGTAAAGCAGCCAACTGGGGACCCCAGCCAGTCTCGGCACTTAATTTCTTGAAAATCTAAAAAGCAATATGTTAGAAAAAAGAATATTCAAATGCGCCATACCATGTACCTGATAATCTAAAGTGACCATAGCCATAAAATCTACCCCTAACCCAACCATAATGAGGCTGAGGTGGTTTGGATCTTCCACCTTAGCAACCTGGTGCCCTCTATTTCTAATTCCTGGATCTGCCACTGTTCATATTATACATTTTTTAATTTCAGACTTTACTTGCTGGTATAACGAAATCACTCAGTGCTGACAGACCAGAAGGTGGCCTAGATGGTCTTATGCAAGCCACAGTCTGCAAAGTATGCTCTTTTTCAATTATTTTTCCAACTGATTGAACTGATTCATTGAGGACACAATAATATTCTTAAGCATAAATGAAATATTAAATTAAAATTGAATCAGTCACAGCGGTGCACCATATATTTGCTGAAAAGGGGTTGACATCAGGGCAGGGGGGCTTAAGCCCCCATCAGTTTGGTCAAGCCCCCCATCGGCCAAAGCTTGTCGGGCAGTTGGACTAAAAAAAGAAAAAAAATAAGCCTAGTTTTCCCATCCAAGCCAGTTCCGGCCATCTAGAAGCCCCAATTTAAAAAAAAATCTTGTTTAGGGAGGCCATACCAACCCCTGGGCCTTCGGCTCGCAGATAACGCTGCGCACACTGTAGTTACACCCATAAATACCTAGTCCCCCGCCCCCATAAATTATATCCTAGAGCCGCCACTGGTTAACATGCCCGATGGAGGGGTCTGAACCAAGGGGCCAACAAGTCTAGAGCCTTGGTAGAGCCTTGGTTGATGGCCTGGAATAAAAAAATCCCTGAAATGGTTAAATGGGAAAGTTGTTATGGCTTAGTATGCTTTTAGACCACAATATTAGGGATTGGCAATCAAAACATTATTTGGAGGCGAATTATTAATTTTTTTTTATCCGATGACCTAGTCGTGCATGCGTCGGACAACAGGGGGTGCAGGCCTGTCCGATGGGAGGCCCGCTGGCACCAACATTGGTGACAGAATCAGCGAGATATTCTTTGCTGACTCTGATGAGATCAAAACATGCAACAATTGTATAAAAATTGCTTAAAATATTTAATCAAAAAAAGAACTAAATAGCAGGAAATAACCTACAGAAGTGAAACAAATATACAGAATTTGGAGGAAGAAAACACACAAAAATATTTGTGATGTTTACTGAAGCCTCCACCTACAGTATTTACCTTTTGTTTTGAAATTAAATAACAAAACAAGAATAAAATGTGATATAAATGACACTAGCTTCGACAAATGAATACAAGAAGCATGTTAATATTTGTTCTTAACTCAAATCATAGAAGAAGAATGCTCTAATATGTATTTATATATATTTTTTATTTATAGCAACAAATTGGTTGGCGTGAAGAGGCTCGTCATTTCATCATTTACATGAGTGACGCAGACTTTCATATTGCACTTGATGGAAAGGTAAGATGAGGTTAAACATCACTTCATTAAAGCCAAGTATAAAAAAAAAATTAGTTTCTCGTCCTAATATTTTGAAAAAAGGAGAATAAGGGCATTCTTTTTACTGCGAGATGGCAAATCCAAGATGGTCGATGGGAAACTGCTACTAATGTCTCAATTTTACCAAGTAGACACATTGAAAACAAATAAAAGAAGCACTAGACCTGATTCATACCATATGTATCCCCAAACGCGAACGATTGAGAGAGAAATTTTACTGATGTGATTTTCCTACAATTCATATTAAAAATAAAGGAAATAAATAAAAAAAAAAGGTGAGGCAGAGAAAATGGATGCGCGAGGGGATGAGAAACTAGTAAAATTTTTTATTTGGCCTAAAATAAAAATAAACATTCTGTCATTTACAGTGTATAAATAAATTATGCTACAGTATGTAGCCATGAGCCTTGGGATGGGAAATGGAGAGCAACCATTTAGGGCCCTTGATGTTTTATATATAAACCTGATCTATCTACAGTAATCGCTCTCTCTACTGCAAACATACATAATACAACATGGTAGGAATCACAATGGGAGCCAAGAAATAGATTTCTCTAATCAAGCTTGACCCCCTTATATTAATACATAATACTGTATAAGTTTTGAGAATATCTAGAGCATTGATCATTTAGAAACCTCCATGTGCTATAACTAAAAACCTCTAGTGTCCAGATGCATGAATTTGAACGAGGAGGGACTTCCACAGGTATAGGGTCTCCCTACCTCGCCACACTATGGTTTGGGCTGATGTAAGAACATTTATGATTATAGCTGCACTTCTAGATGGCCATAAATGGCATTGTCAGACTTAAATTTGAATATAATTTTATTTTAATGTCAATTTTTCTGAATAATTTTGAAAATTAAGGGGGGGGGGATGGTTGGGGCTAACACCCCTACCCCTTGAAACCACCACTGTGTTTCATATGTAAACGTGATCTCTCTAATACTGTATAGTATTTTTTCTCATATTTTGAGCAATATAAATGAATAACCTTTAACCTTTAACCTTTATATGTTTTTAAGAGTATCTAGAGTATTGATTGTTTAGTTTGGATACTCTAATGCACTATATATAACTAAAACCTTGTTCAATAAATTCTGATTTTTAGAAACACAGACAGTATATACCGGTATCTGTGAAGAATAATCTCTCTTTTTCAGCCCAATTTAAAATAATTATCATTTTCACATTCATTTTTCAATCAATTTTAAAAGTGAACTTTCTAAGATACGGTGAATGGTATAGGAAATGTGTTATAATGTTTAATCCTATGTCATGGATAAATGAAACTGTTACGGTCTTACTGATCACAGTACAGTGGTGACTCATGCAAAAAGTCACTCCTTATTTGACTCACTGAATTGTCACTGTTCTTAGAAATTATAGAAAGTGTTAATATCATTAAAGGTACACAGTCTGTCATGAACTAAAAATATTGAAAAATTTAACTTTATACTTGCTTTGCTTAACTTGTATATAGTATTTAAGTAGGTTAAACAATTTGAATGTGAAAACAATTTTCCTCTCAATTCAGGGACAGTTTAATTCCGTATTTATTCAAATAAATGCCTCGGAGCATTTATTGTTGAGAAGGGTTTTTGAGGGGGGGGCGTTTATTTGAGGGAGGCGCTAATTTTTTTGGGTGTAAAATAAATATGTATACACTTAAATAAATGCCCCGTAATTTCGCTGTAAATGTGGAACTACAACACAATTACTGTCAAAATGTGATCTACTGGAGTAGAACATATTTTATTTGTTTACAGTCATTTGGGGAAGGGGCATTTATTCGAAAGGGCATTTATTCCAAATGAGGCTCTAGAGGGGCATTTATTCAAATAACTACGGTAATACCATTTCTGTATTCTTTTTGTATACCTTAAACAGTCTGGTAATCAATTTAAAATTTTTTTTTATCTGCTTCTGGTTGAAACTTAGACTTGCCACAATTCTCTAATTTATTGAATTTTCGTAGTATTAGCAAATTTCAGAGAGTGCCACCAGCGATCGGTTTATGTCGAGAAACTTTGTGATGCGAATTAGAATCCTAATCCTAGAAAAAGTATACTATGAAACGCCATGCAAATAAAAAAGTATAATACATACTCCAAGTATTGAAATGCACGCCATCGTGTTGGGATTCAATGCGAATAAGCAATATGTCATGCCATGCAAATAAGCAATATACCTGTCTCTTATCCACATCTAGATGTGTATAAGAGACAGAGGCCATACCAACCCCTGGGCCTTCGGCTCGCAGATAACGCTGCGCACACTGTAGTTACACCCATAAATACCTAGTCCCCCGCCCCCATAAATTATATCCTAGAGCCGCCACTGGTTAACATGCCCGATGGAGGGGTCTGAACCAAGGGGCCAACAAGTCTAGAGCCTTGGTAGAGCCTTGGTTGATGGCCTGGAATAAAAAAATCCCTGAAATGGTTAAATGGGAAAGTTGTTATGGCTTAGTATGCTTTTAGACCACAATATTAGGGATTGGCAATCAAAACATTATTTGGAGGCGAATTATTAATTTTTTTTTATCCGATGACCTAGTCGTGCATGCGTCGGACAACAGGGGGTGCAGGCCTGTCCGATGGGAGGCCCGCTGGCACCAACATTGGTGACAGAATCAGCGAGATATTCTTTGCTGACTCTGATGAGATCAAAACATGCAACAATTGTATGGGGGGGGGCGCGTTTATTTGAGGGAGGCGCTAATTTTTAAGATAAATATGTATATACTTAAATAAATGCTACATAAGTTTGCTGTAAATGTGGAACTACAACACAATTACTGTCAAAATGTGATCTACTGGAGTAGAACATATTTTACTTGTTTACAGTCATTTGGGGAAGGGGGAAGAGGCATTTATTCGAATGGGCATTTATTCCAAATGAGGCTCTAGAGGGGCATTTATTCAAATAACTACGGTAATACCATTTCTGTATTCTTTTTGTATACCTGAAACAGTCTGGTGGTAATCAATTTAAAATTTTTTTTTATCTGCTTCTGGTTGAAACTTAGACTTGCCACAAGTCTCTAATTTATTGAATTTTCGTAGTATTAACAAATTTCAGAGAGTGCCACCAGCGATCGGTTTATGTTGAGAAACTTTGTGATGCGAATTAGAATCCTAATCCTAGAAAAAGTATACTATGAAACGCCATGCAAATAAGAAAGTATAATACATACTCCAAGTATTGAAATGCGCGCCATCGTGTTGGGATTCAATGCGAATAAGCAATATGTCATGCCATGCAAATAAGCAATATACAGTAGAATGCCATTGGTGCCAAAATCGAATCCATTGTAAAACATTTTCACTGATTAAGACAAAGCTTAGAGAATGGAACCCAGTCTAGTTGAATCTTAATAACTTATTTTAAGTGAGCTTTAAAAATTAATTAATTAATTAATTTTTTAAGGTATTTTCCAATTTGTTTTGGCAAGTGTATCTCTAACTGATCTGCATATATCTTATAGAGAAATATTTCTCTAGATAAGTGATGCGCTCCTTCAGATGGGACATTTAATAAGGTTCATTATTTGCAATCAAGAACAAGGTTCACTTCATAATGTAATCAAAGGTTTTCTAGTCATAACAAGAAATCAGGTTCATTAGTAAATTATTTATTTATTAACATTATATATTTATTTTTATTGTTGTTATTCTTTATTGTTACTCATTATTTTTGTTAGGTGAAACTTTTAATAATTTTTTACCACACCATGCTGTAAAGCACATAGAGGTATTTTACATTATGAGCTATATAAATTATTATTATTATTATAACTAGTCATAACAAAAGGGTTCATTAGTCATAAACTTATATATTATTACTAGCCTATGACTAAGCACTAAACTAAATCATGTTTTATGAAAAACCACACCTTTTCAAAATCACTCTCTATAATTTCTGTCCATAAAAGAACCGATCATAAGCGTAATATTAACATAATTTTTAAAATTAATAACGGTTGTTACTGCAGACATGCAAAGTTAGAGCTGGTGTTCGATTCTGCCCAATGCCGTAGCCAGGATTTCCAAACAGTGCGGGACAATATCAGTGTGGACCCACTTTACGCGTAAATTGAAATAATGTCGACCCATTTTCTGAAAAGTTGACCCCTTTTACGCAATAATATGAAAAATCTTGACCCATTTTCATAAAAGTTAACCCATTTTATGCAAAGTATAAGAAATCTGGACCCATTTTTCAAAAACAAGACTTATTTTCTGCTAAAACAGCATCTTTGAAAATGTGGAGCCATTCTTTGTGGACACAATTGAAAATTGTGTGGGACTATCACAATAGCTGGCTACAGCATTGATTCCACTACATATTTTTGAAGGAATACATTTCAAACTGTCTAAGCCAACACTACATTGGAAGAAAGAAAATATTATAGAGATTGTAAATAATCAAACTGCTTTGTGGGTAGATTTTGTGAAGATTTAGCCCCAACCCCTTCAAAAAGAAATGTGACCAACATGCAAGATTTTTATGACTGTGAATAGCCTGGAAGTAGGTCTAAATTAGAAACTTTTATAAGACCTTAGTTTATCACCCACATTCATAATGGAATCATATAGTCATGGCGGGGCTGAAGTAGGAGTTGATTCAACCATCTGAAAAAAAAAAATCATTGATCCGCCCGGCCTGCTACTAGTATAAACAACTCATTTTTTTTTTTCAATATTTCATAATGCAAACATTTTGGTCTCTGCGTACAAGAGCATGAGGGTATTAAATGCACCAGTCCCACACCAGTTCTTACCATCATTACCAGAGATATTTATTTATTTATTTATTTCAACAATATTTTGTGAGGGTGGTCCATCCAGCCTGAGCTGATCAATTGGGACCCTCAGTACATACAATTAAAACATAAGTATAAAAATTAAACTTGATCTTTAACATAGCATTCCTAGTCTGATGGGTGGATTAAGATCATTTTCATATTCTGATGTCTTAGTTAACCCAACATAGTATTTGGAACTTTAAAATTCTTAATAATTTGTGCCCCCCCCCCCCCCCCCCCCCCCCCCCCCCCCACATCTAGATGTGTATAAGAGACAGCATCCCCTATATACGCCACTGTATTGTAACCAATGGAGTACTTTTTACACTATAGTTTCCTTTAAGGAACTTGCCTAAGTCTTGTTTTCAAAATGCACAATAACTTCTAGTTGATTTAATTTTTTAAATATCCTCAGATTATGCGAAAGTAATTCAATTATAAAAACTAATGACACATGCCTTGACCTATTTTTAGATTGGAGGAATCACTAGGCCAAACGATGGAAAATGTTATTTGGATGCGAGCGGATTCTACACAAAAACAAATCAAATGGTAATTTATCAGTTATTAGTTTTACTTTCTTAACTATTATTACAGTACTATTATTTATTTATTATTATGGTATTCTTATTTTGGTAATCTCTTTTTTTTTTCGAAACGGTACCACAATCAACGTCTGTTGGAGTGGCGCCATATAAATGTAACGATTGATGATAGATTGATTGATTTAAATATTTTAAATATTTCATTTATCATTATTGCTATTGTTGTTACTATTATCACTATTGCTGTGAATATTAATTTCAACATAAAATTAACAAATGAAACCATTAGAAAAACATTTATTACTACAATAATATGCACATTTATCATAATCAACTTGATTTTCATCTTTTGGAAGGTACTATAATGATACTGTACTGTATTTGCATCAAGAAATAATATTAAATTATTATATTATTACTATCAGGGGCGGATCAAATGAGGGGCCTACTTTGCTTGTAAGATTTAACAACTCAATGTATGGTATAATGAATAATAAATATCAAAATGATACTTTAACACAACTAATTTATTTTTAGGATTATCCGTCAATTGGACAAATAAGCAGTACAATGAAAGAACAGAACATTATTCCAATCTTTGCTATATCTAAAAGTGACTTCTATAATGACATACCGTTTTATCAGGTAAGTAGCCAGTGTAGTGGGATCATTGAATGGGGGTACAATATTAACGCAACTTATAATAATATTAGCATCAACAATTTGTAATATGGAATATAGTATAAAAGGAAAAATTGCAGAATTTGAATTTTCTACACACTGCAGGATCTGGTGAACCAATTTTTTGAAAGTGGAAAAGTAGGAGGATTAGCACGCGATTCTTCAAATATCATTGAGTTAGTTAGAGCAAGTTATGAAGTAAGTATGACACAGTACACAATGTAATTCATTTTTTTTTTCAGGTGCAATGCTTAATCAGACAACACAGACTAAATTTTAAATTCAGGCATAAATTACAATGAATCACAAATTTGTATTTGGCATAATCCTAACACTTTTTTGGGAGTGTGCACTATTTGGGGGCATGCATTCCCCAGGCCGGGCAATCCCTAGAGACGCCACTGGTAAGGTCTTATTTTATTCAACATATTTATTTTAATACTTTTAAAGCAAATCACAGCAGAGGTTCGGATGGACGATACAGCCAAAGACCCAGTCAAAGTAAAATATACAGCTTACTGTGGAAGCGAAGTTATGGCAAATTCTAAAGAGTGTTTAAGCGTTGCGAGTCAAGAAGCTGTCACGTTTCAGTTGGAAGTTAGCGTCATAAACCAGAACTGTCTGGCAGGAGCCAGCACAAGGTAATGTTTTGGCCTGTTTCTTTGTTTACATTTTCCTTCCTCACGAATGAAATAAAATATAAGCACACAAACATCTGTGGACATTTGTGTGTGGACCCAGCAGTCTTTAATGCCTGGCCCAAGAACAAATACAAATTAATATAAATACCATATTTATCCGAATAAACACCCCGTGGCGTTTATTGAGAAAGGTTTTTGAGGGGGCGTTTATTTGATGGAAGCGTTTGTTCAAGGGAGGGTTTTTTTTTTTTTTGGTGTACATACGTATATACTCAAATAAACACCCCTTAATTTCACTCTCAATGCCAACAAACCAACACATAATTACAGTGAAAATGTGTTATTGAGTGATCATAAACATTTATTGATCCTAAGCAGGTTAGAAAAAATGTACTTCTACTGGTGCAGAACATAATTAGAGTGTACTGTAAATACATTGCTTATATTAGTTTTGTTTACAGTCATTTTTTTTTTGGCGGGGGGGGGGGGGGGGGGGGGGGTGTTTATTCGAGGAAAACATAAGTTTACGCCCCCAGGCCAATAATTTCAAAAAACAGAATATAGTTATTTAAATGATAGCATGGTTGCATAATACATGACTCTGTGCTTCAATTTGGAGTTAAAATAATCTCAAGCTTATATCCACAAAGGAAAACTAAATGATAGGAAAAATATCTTACTATGATTTTATGCCCTACTGATGTATGTTGAGACAAGGAGCTATATAATATGATATTTAACAGTAGTAGGTTCTGTTTAGGCCCTAAAATCAAAGAAATACTGCTAAATTGCAAATTATTGGCAGCTTATAGCTCAGTTGGTAGTGAGGTTTCCTGGTTTGACTCTGCAGCACCATATTTTGTTTGCTCCCCGCTTCATTCAATCTTTATACACCATGTTGGTCTACTTAAATTAAAACAATGGGTATACAAAGGGATTTGGGAATAATGTGGAAATTGTTTAGATTCAGAATTGTATTGCAGGATTTGAACCCATGGCACCAGAAGCATATGTACTGGGAAGTCTGAGGTGCGAGGCCACCCCACTATAAATTCGCCGAGCCAAAAAACTGCACTCAAGTACTGTAGCTAAAAGATACGTTGTACTTGTATCAACTCTTTAGTCAGCTGCTCTTCCTCAACACCCCCCCCCCACACACCATATCAACATTCCTAGACACACAACTGCAGGTTACAGATAGTCTATGAACAATAACTTATTTTAGTTCATACAATCAATTTGATTAAATAAAATATTTGTAGTTTTTATGATTATTTTACTAATCAAATTTGATTAATAAAATATTTTTTTTTTTTGGTTTTCAGTTTCACTGTAAAGCCAGATGGCTTTAATGAAGAAGTCTTAATTCATGTGGAAACACTCTGTGACTGTAACTGTTTAAATGATCCCGTAAGTTACCATCTGACAAATTGTATGTGATGAAAATCTCTGACAAATATTTGACAAGGATATACTCCATCCAGTGGTGTAATGAAGGCCTTGGCCAGGGGCCCCTTTGGGCGCCATACGCTGGGTGCGGGGGACGCGATCGGGGTCTGGGGCGAATCCCCTGGCCGCTCCAACATTTTTAGCATTCTATGACGTATTTTAATGCCTTTTTTGTCGTAATTTGACCTAAAAAAAATTTATAGATGGAGGGTCTGGACCACTTTAGCCCCATCATGGTTGGGGCTGAGGGAAGAAAATGTATGAATATGGGACATTAAGATGACCGGAAATGGCACTCCCCGTATAAATTTGTGTACAATTATCTTTTTTTCTCCATTTCTTTTATAATTTTGTGGGGGGGGGGGGGGGGGGGTGCTGATTAACAAAAAACAGGTAAATTTCTTGAACTGAAATCCTTGATAATTGAACCAAAAGAATGCAAGTTGATTAAAAAAAAAATGGCTTAAACCATCTGAATTATGCATCAATTTTTTTTAAATGGAAACACCACATTGATGGTTTTAAGGCTAAAAACTATCTATGTAAGAATCAAATGGAATATTGTTTCATAATGGAAAAATGAGCAAAGCCAATGGTTCTTATACATTCCATTTCTTTTATAATTTTGTGGGTGGGGGTGGTGGTGCTGCTTGCTGGCTCCCTATCTTGAAGCCACCACTGTATTAGATAAAACTGAGTATCTGACAAATATTTGATAAAGATACATTCCATTTGTATATCAAGTTAAGATCAGATAACTGAAAAATTTCTAGGTTTCCACCTTATACAAATTAGATTATCAATTCTACTGGTGGAAACCACAGGAACGTGTACATTACCTGGACACAACATACTGTGCCATTACCTATCAACATCTCCTATATGTCATTGTATGCTGATGAGCCCTGTTGACATAACAGATGAAATTTCTAGCAGGCTATATATTGGTTTCATTCCATAGAATTAATGATCTCAATATATATATATATATAAGAAATAGAAATCCAATTCGGTTTTATATACACAAATAGACAATTTCCCAAATTTTCTTAACAAAAAACAGGTAAATTTCTTGAACTGAAATCCTTGATAATTGAACCAAAAGAATGCAAGTTGATTAAAAAAAAATGGCTTAAACCATCTGAATTATGCATAAATTTTTTTTAAATGGAAACACCACATTGATGGTTTTAAGGCTAAAAACTATCTATGTATTAAGTAAGAATCAAATGGAATATTGTTTCATAATGCAAAAATGAGCAAAGCCAATGGTTCTTATACATTCCATGTAACTGAATCTCAACACTTAACTTGCTTACCTGTAATTCTTATTTTTTCCACTCATGGGGGTGTCTCAGTTTCCCACATTTTGGATTGACAACAACCCACCATTAGTACTATACAGAACATAAAAAAATGAAAATAAAACTAAGTCTCTTTATTCTAGTTATTACGTAGTTAACTGTTATTCTTGCATAAATTTAGTTAATAATTATAGTTTAATTGATAATTAGTGTACCATGATATATGCAATTATAAAAATTAACTACATACTAGACATTGTTTCAGATTGAAAAAACAACCCATCATCAGTACAGAACAGAAAAAAACGGAAATAAAACCAATTGAATTCCTTTTCTTCTGGACTATTATTATGTAATTAATTGTTATGAATGTATATATTTAGTTCATAAGTAGTACAAATTTAATATATTTATATTCTGCATATTTATATAGTCCAGAAGAAAAGGGCTTGGTTTTATTTTTGGTTGCTTGCACATGATCTGGTACATTATTTATCAATTAAGCTATAATTATCAACAACATAATAATATGCATATAACAATTAACTACATAATAATAGTCCAGAAGAAAAGGCTTGGTTTTATTTTCGTTTTTTTTTTTTATGTACTAATAATGGGTTGCTGTCAATACGAAACATGTCTACAATTAATCTTTTGTGATATTTTGTGAACTTTTGGTTCGATTATCAAGGATTTCAGTTCAATCAATTTAACTGTTTCTTTGTTAATGGTATTTGAGAAAGTCTATTTGTGAACATAAAACAATTTTCCACAAAACTGCAAGACGTTCAGAGTTTTCCCCTAAGTTCATATATATTAATCCTCTTATATATATACAGTAGTTCATGATAAAATGATATTTTAATATGCAGCTAATACCATGTTCTAATTTAGATCAATTGAGTCATAAGGTTTGCACAGAGCTCTCAAATTCTACAGAAATTTCGTAATTGCTACGGAAATTTCGCCTAATTACAGAAATAGACAGAAATACTACGGAAATTTATCCTAGGGCTAGTTGTGAATTTGTTGAACCACTAAATAAATTACCAGGTTTGAAGTCCAGAACATCAGATCTTTGGTTACATTTTAGACAATTCATACTTGTAAGATTACTGATAAATTATTGTGAAAACTAAGAAAAAGTGGCTCGTAATCTTCATCCTTTCATATTCGTTTGGAATTCCATATCTGCTATTATCCTGTACCTGTAATTTTAGCAACCCATATTCTGCAGTCAAGACAAATTATTAGGTGCTACTGAAATTTTGTATTTCATACAGGTATTTGAAGACTTGGTTACTGAAATGCATTTTACTTACTTGAGAAGCCCCTTTGCATTTAATGTGGTTGTGGTATTTTAGTGTTTCTTTACATGCTTCTAGGACAGGTCTTATCTAAGATGGCATCATATTTTGTATAAAAACTTACTTTTCATTTTTTCTTTAGCTTGCGACCCATCTCATGATACCTCCACCAGATTTACTCTTACTAGGTCAATTACCAGATTAGAGCAAAGTGACTACTGACCCCTAAAGGGGCAGTAGACACAAACAAATTAAAAATACCAACAGAATAAATGAGTTGCCATCCTTTCATATTCGTTTGGAATTCCATATCTGCTATTATCCTGTACCTGTAATTTTAGCAACCCATATTCTGCAGTCAAGACAAATTATTAGGTGCTACTGAAATTTTGTATTTCATACAGGTATTTGAAGACTTGGTTACTGAAATGCATTTTACTTACTTGAGAAGCCCCTTTGCATTTAATGTGGTTGTGGTATTTTAGTGTTTCTTTACATGCTTACATCCACAGAGTGAAACATTTCTGCAAGTAAATAATAAAACATAGGCTCCCAGCTGGAGCATGTTTTTATACTGCTTGATATAGTTTTTTTTTTTTTTTTTTTTTTTTTTTTTTTTTTTTTTTTTTTTTTGC